ATAGCATACAGAATACTGAATGCAACTGAAAAATATTTCAAGTTACCGAATAGATAAAAAATTATTTTAGGAAGCTCAATCCAGCAGAAAAAATATTTCTAAAAAAGTAATCAATTTATGATATTGGGTGTCACTCACAAAAACATTACAAAGAACTAGAACTTGGATGCATGAAAAATTTGTTTAGAAAACTTGGAGTGCTACTAAAAACAATTCAAGGTATTAAATGTATTAAAAAAATTAGTTTAAGATATTAAGCGCCACTGAAAAATGACTTCAAGGTATCAAATAGAAAAAAAAATTTGTTAATTTCGGGTACAGAGTCAAATGAAAGGAAGAAATTGAGAGTATGAATCAATTTAACACAAATAAAAAGCTCACAAAAGAAGCATAAAACGTCTAAAAAACAGGATAAATGTGTCACCGTCACGTGGGCTGTAAAAATATTTTTTTTAAAACTTTTTAAACTGTATGCGCATTAGAACTTGTAACTCCACAACACGTGAGATTTAGTAATACCTTTGAAAAATAATTTTTTAAAACTTTCAAAACTACGTGAGATTTAGAATGCAGCGTTTAGTTAGGTCTTTAAAAATATTTTTTAAACTATATTTTGCACATTTAAGTTTCATCATTTGAAATTTTTTAGCACCGCCTAGCATCTTAAATTAATTAGTTTTTTGGGCATTTATCACAGTAAATTTTTTATCAACGTCTACCATCATTAATTAATTTTTTTAATGTATCTAACATTCTGAAATTTTTTTTTCAATAGCATACAGAATACTGAGTGCTACTGAAAAATATTTCAAGTTACTGGATGGATAAAAAATTATTTTAGGAAGCTCAATCCAGCAGAAAAAATATTTCTAAAAAAGTAATTCAATAATACATAAAACATCCATTTAAGCTTAAGATATTATTTAAATCCAAGATTAATGTGGGACAAAATAAATAAAAACTAAGTTTTATCAATTTTCTCACATTTAGTTTTTGCACTCATGGGCAAAGCAATTATGTTTGTGGAACAGTCTAGTTTTAATTTTTGATATTAGAACTCTATGCAATCACTTTTTGATGGACCATTCATTTTGGCATATGAACCAGAGTGCACACTCAGTAGATCAAGGTATCAAGTAAACCAAAAATTCATTAAATTAGGATACTGAGTCTAATGAAAATAGGATACTAAGTCTAATGAAAGGATGAAATGCAGAGTATAATAAACTAGAGTGCGCACGCTGTAGATTAGATTTGCACAAAAAATAAGACAAGTTGAAAAACTTTCTAAAAGTCAACTTTCCAAAAATATGGGAATTGACTTTAAAGAAATAGGAAATATTAATTTCAAGCCAAAAATAAGAAATTACAAAATATTCATACTTTCAATCCAAAATCCCAATTTCTGTGAAAAATTTTAAAATCAATCAATTAACCCAATAATGCCTAAAACATCCATTTAAGCTTAAGATATCATTTAAATCCAAATTTAATGTGGGACAAAATATATAAAAATTAAGGTTTATCAATTTTCTCATACTTAGCCTTTACACTCCTGGGCAAAGCAATTATGTTTGTGAAACAGTCTAGTTTTAATTTTTGATATTAGAACTCTACTCAATCCCTTTTTGATAGACCATTCTTTTTGGTTAGTATATTTTGTTATATAAACCAGAGCGCACACGCAGTGGATCAAAGTATCAAGTAAATTGGATACTGAGTCTAATAAAAGGAAGAAATGCAGAGTATAGTAAACTAGAGTGCATGGACGCTAAATTACACATAAACTAGAGCACACGCACTGTAGATTAGATATGCACAAAAAATAAGACAAGTTGAAAAACTTTCTAAAAATCAACTTTCCAAAAATATGGGAATTGACTTTAAACAAATAGGAAGTATTAATTTCAAGCCAAAAATAAGAAATCACAAAATATCCATACTTTCAATCCAAAATCCCAATTTCTGTGAAAAATTTTAAAATCAATTAATTAATCCAATAATACATAAAACATCCATTTAAGCTTAAGATATTGTTTAAATCCAAGATTAATGTGGGACAAAATATATAAAAATTAAGCTTTATCAATTTTCTCACACTTAGCCTTGGCACTTCTGGGCAAAGCAATGATGTTTGTGGGACGATGTAGTTTTAATTTTGGATATTAGAATTCTACTCAATCCCTTTTTGATAGACCATTCCTTTTGGTTAGTACATTTTGTTATATAAACCAAAGCGCACACGCAGTAGATCAAGGTATCAAGTAAATGAAAAATTCATTAAAAAATTAGAGAGTATAATAAACTACAGTGCATGCGCACTAGATTAAACACAAGCTAAAACGTGTGCGTTGTAGATTAGATATGCACAGAAAATAAGGTAAGTTGAAAAACTTTCTAAAAATCAACTTTCCACAAAAATGAGAATTCTTCTCTAAAAGCTGCCCCCCACTCCTTGCACTTTTCTTCCCCGTCCGTGGAGACCCACATGCATAGTATCATATTACCATTTTCAATACTTATACACAGTACTCCTCCAATCTTAAGTAGGTTTAATTAACTAATTTGAGTACATTAAGAATATTAGTTAAATTAGTTAATATGATATATTTTTATTTAAAATATCATAAGTATCTTCTTTAATTTTTTCTTACTTCTTCTACTTAATTATTATTGGGAAAATACCAATAGAGTTAGTTTGAAAAAAATTAATAAATATGTAAAATAGGTCTTATGTGCAAAGAACAATTTCTTCATTTTTCTAAACTTTATCTCTCAAAGAACGAGTTTTGACGTGGTAGTTAGGTAAATAATTTTTATTCTATAGCATTGGGGTAATATCGTTTACTGTTCATAGTGTTTTGGTCAAAAAGCCTCCTGTAATGCGTCTGAGGGAAACGTCTCGAGTAATGCGGCCGAGTTCCTTGGGCTATGTTTGGATTGCAGTTGGAAAAGCCAAAAGCATATGGGAAAGCGTGAAACTGAGATTAGTGGCTTATTGTGGCTCAAAATATTATTTGGATGTGACTTTTTTTCTAACTAACTTATGGCAAAAAGTAACTTTTCTAACTAACTTATCCAACGCAATCTGAGGGTATGTTTGGATTGTCATTCCAAACGGTAAAAGCACATGGGAAAGGCTGTAACGGAGGTTGGTGGCTTATTTGAGGCAAAATGATTGTTTGGACGAGTTGCTTTTGAAACTGACTTGTAACAAAAAGCAACTTATTTTCGGACGCCCCCAGCTCCAGCTTTTCCACCGTTCATAATGCATTTTACCGTTACTAGGGCAATTAATGGGTATTATTTCTCTCACCTATCATTTTCACCTAACCCGAAGCCTCAGAACACTCGACCCTCCACTCGACCGAGCTCTCCTCTGCATTCGACCTTGGAGATCACTCTCGGCACTCGCTCGCCTTCTCCCGTGGGTCTCCGTCCGTCGCTCTCTCCGGCGTCTCCGTCTATCGCTCTCTCCGGCGTCTCCGTCTGTCGCTCTCTCCGGTGTCTCCATCCGTGGATCTCGGCGGCTGTTCTCCCTCCAAGGCCGAAGCGACAGATCTGTGTCATCCTTCCTTACCATCACCGACGTGTGTGCGCAAGGAATCGCGGCTGTCTTCCTCCGCCGGTCAAGGTACCATGGTTGCCTTTCTGTTATTTTTCTTGAACCTTAGAACCACCCCAAAATTCAATATTAATTTAAACCCGGTCTCTGTTTTTGGACTTTTGGTTGTAATTACCAGTTGAAATTTATATACATAATCGACAACATTCGTCAGACGTCAAATGTTCTTGTCGAAGTGGGTTTTTTTTTTTTTCCCTTTCTCCTCCGGTCAAGGTACGAAGGCCGAAGCGGGTGTTTTTTCTTTTCCCTTTCTCCTCCGGTCAAGTCCTGTGTTTTTTTTCCCCTTCTCCTGCGCACGTTTAGTTTGACCGAAGTGAACCAGTGCCGGTGTGCCCCTGTCGAAGTGAACCAGTTTCTGATCTGTGGATATAATATTTAGCTAGGATATGTGCAATTTCTGATCTCCAGTGCAAACATATGCTTCGGTCAAAATAGATATGTGGATATATTTAGCTAGGATATGTGCAATTTCTGATCTCCAGTGCAAACATATGCTTCGGTCAAAATAGATATGTGGATATATTTAGCTAGGATATGTCCAATTTCTGATCTCCAGTGCAAACATATGCTTCGGTCAAAATAGATATGTGGATATATTTAGCTAGGATATGTGGATGTATTCCAGCTTGGTTGAAGCTTTTGATTCACACGGTATATTTGGAATGTGGATATATTTAGCATGTATGAACAATCTGAATATTGGAAAAAGAAATACTGTTTGATTATATTGAGAGTTTGGCAAATCTATTGTGTTTTGTGATTCTGTGTTTTTTGCTTGAATTAAGGCACTTTTGGTGATAAATTGATTTACATAATATGTGGGTTTATACTGCTTCATTATACTGTTTGATTTTGACTAATTGTGGGTTTGATATATATGTAATTTCAACAAGAACTATGAGTAACGATAAAGGCAAAGCACATTGGGACGTGAGCACCACAGGTGTTTTTCTCAAAATATGTGTTGACCAGATTTATAGCAAACTGCATCAAGGATCTTCATTTACAAAACAAGGTTGGGACAACATTCACAAAACTTTCAATGAAAAGACAGGGAGAGGATATGAAAAAAAACAGCTGAAAAATAGGTTAGATAATTTGAGAAAAGAGTGGAAGACATTTGATAAACTAATTGCTAAGGAGACCGGTATAGGGTGGGACCCTGAAAGGAACACAGTGGTGGCATCTGATGAGTGGTGGGAGAGGAAATTACGGGTATGAACTAGCTTGTGTTAATTTAGAAGCAGTATTATACTTTTGGAACATATTTAACTTTGGTTTACTTTTGACTTTGCAGGAAAATCCAGCATATGAAAAGTTTAGGCACTATGGGTTTAGGTTTCGCACTGAATTGGAAACTATATTCAAGGACACTATGGCATCAGGAGATGATATGTGGGCACCATCTTGGACCGGGCCTGAGCCACAGAGGGGTGATCAGCCAAATGACTACCAACCAACAATGGATTGGCAAGAAGGTTCAGGGGATAGGCAAGAAGGTTCAGGGGATAGTGAAGACGACACTAGGCGCCGTGCAGGAGTTTCGGACTATTTGGATGGCATCAATTTAACTGCAAATACATCGAACACTGCACCCACTGGACCTAGTGCTTCAGGGAGTCAAGGGAAGAGGAAGAGAGGTGAAGGGTTGGACAAGTACAAGAAGCAAAAGATGCCAGCGACAAGAAGAATAGCAGATTCAGTAAGTTCGATTGAGAAGGCTTCAATTAGTACAGCAGAGGCAATAAACAAAATCTGCATCAGTGATAACACTACTGAGCTTACTGCTGATCTACTGAGTATGCCTGAAATTGTCAATGACTTACAACTTTGTGTGACATGTTGTAATCTGCTAGCTAACAAGACATTCAGGGACATATATGCTGGTTTGAGAGAAAATCGGGAGGTATTAGTAGCTTGGTTGAAGCACAATGCTGCAAACCCCCCGCCATATGCTGCACCGAAGAACCCCCCGCCATAGCTTGGTTGAGTTGTGCCTAGTGACTTGTTATGATTTCTGTTTATCTATCATAATGTATTTGGTTATTGTTGTCATGACGATGTGTTTAATGGTTGTGTTTAATGACTCTGTGTAATGTTGTGTTTTATGACTATGTTTAATGTTGTGTTTCATGACTATGTTTAATTATTATGTTATAGTTTAATAGCTATTTATCACTTATCTTCTCTCTCTCTCTCTCTCTTTTTTGTGAAAATGTTACTCACATTTAGTATTTAACTACTCACAGGTAACATAATCCATGTCTGATTCAACGGAGGGTTGGGGCGAGGGTTGGGGCGAGGGTTGGGACGACGAACGGTCTCAATTACTTCCTGCTTTACATGAACACACAACACAGGTATCACAGCTAAGTGTGTTAATGGGTCAGTATGTGACACCTTTTCTATGCAAACAGCCATGTAGAACTAGTGAACAAACGGGTTATTTATGGGTTCAAGAACTTTTGCATGGGCATGAAGGACGGTCTAAAGAAATGTTTCGAATGGAAATAGAGACATTCCATCGGTTATGTTCTAAATTGGTTGAACATAGGTTGCAAAATTCTAAGTACATAGGTGTCCATGAATCTGTTGCCATGTTCTTGAATACAATTGCGCATGGTCAGTGTAATAGGATGATTCAAGAAAGGTTTCAGCGTTCAGGAGAAACTGTTAGTCGACATTTTCATAGAGTGTTGGATGCTTGCCTCAATTTATCTCGAGAAAATATCAAGCCCACTGATCCTACATTCTCCTATTGCCACCCAAAAATAGCAAATGATCCACGATACTTCCCATTTTTTAAAGATGCAATTGGCGCAATTGATGGCACCCACATAAAATGTCAGGTTAGTCAAGCTAGGCAAGACAAATATTTTGGGAGGAAGGGATTCCCGAGTCAGAATGTCATGGCCGTATGCGATTGGGATATGTGCTTCACGTTCGTGTTGGCGGGCTGGGAAGGTAGTGCACATGATGCTCGTGTCTTTCAATCTGCTATTTCAACTCCATCCATGAATTTCCCTCATCCACCTGAAGGTATATTTCTGTAAATTTCAAATCAATTATTTTAAAATTAAGCTTCAATTGTATTATTTTCACCTCAACATAATTGAATCATGATTTTCTAGGCAAATTTTATTTGGTTGATGCTGGCTATTCATCACAAGTGGGATATCTTGGCCCGTACAGACGTGAGCGCTATCACCTCCCAGACTTTAATCGTCAACCAGGATTTAGAAATGAGAATGAGGCCTTCAATTATTATCATTCAAGTTTGAGATGCACTATTGAAAGAACTTTCGGGGTTTGGAAGAATAGGTTTGCAATCTTAAGAGACATGCCCATATTCAAGTTTCAAGCACAGGTCCGCATAGTTTGTGCAACAATGGCTGTCCATAATTTTATCAGGCAAAGTTCTCCGAACTGATGACCGCTTTATACAAGCTGAGCATGGAAGTATAATAGATGAAGACAATAATCATCCAGCTGGTGAGGCATCCTCGTCAAGTTTAACATCTGCCGCACAAATGAATCGTGTTCGTGACTCAATTAGAGACCAAATTGTGGAAAGCTTACGATCTAATTAGTTATGTGATTTTATTTACTTTAATTAGAGACAAATTTTAATTTAATTTATGTTTATGTTCGTCCATTATATATATTTAATTAAGTACGATCTAATTATTTATGTAATTTTATTTACTTTAATTAGAGACGGAATGAATTTTAATTTATGTTCATGTTTGTCCATTATATATATTTAATTAATTATCTAAAATGTGTTTTTAAATTTTTTTTATCTTATAATCTCACAAATAAACTATTTTTATTTTATCATAATAATTTTAGATATTTTTTAACAATTATCACATTAAAAATATCAAACACTACTATTTAATAAAATATATGTCCTTTTTAGTCATTTTACAACTGAACTAACTTTTTTATTCATCCAAACAACTTTTAACTTTTCCAACTGACTTTTTAAAAGCACCTATCCAAACATACCATAACTGACTTTTACTCTAACTTCAGTTACAAAAGTCAGTTGGACTAGAAGTCAGTTTTGCCCAACGCCAATCCAAACATACCCTGAATCAACTTTTCTAACTGACTTATGGGAAAATTGTACAAAGCTTACGATCTAATTAGTCATGTGATTTCATTTACTTTAATTAGAGACCAAATAAATTTTAATTTATATTCTTGTTTATCCATTATGTATATTTAATTAATTATCTACAATGTGTTTTCAAATTTTTCTCCGTAACAAATATTTTTATTTTATAATCTCACAAATAAACTATTTATATTTTATCATAATAATTTTATGTATTTTTTAAACTATTATCACATTAAAAACATATAATTTCAAACACTATTATTCCATAAAGTCTATGCCATTTTCAGTCATTTATAACCAAACTAACTTTTTTATTAATCATCCAAACAACTTTTAACTTTTTCAACTGACTTTTTATAAGCACCTATCCAAACATAAATCATATTACATTAACTGATTTTTACTCTAATTTCAGTTACAAAAGTCAGTTAGACTATAAGTCAGTTTTATCCAACGCCAATCCAAACATACCCTTGGTCCCAGCCCACTCGGTGCCACGTGTCCGTCGCTTACACGCCTGGAGATTTTATCCCCAGGAAGATCACTGGCTCACAGGTTTGCAACGTTCTTTTAGATTCGAAAAATTATAATGAGTTGCAATAAAATATAATTACAAAATAAATTTTAGAAATTATTATTTTTATTTTAAAACTTATTATTATAAGCTACTTAAGTTATTATTAAGACTTTTTAGTAATTATTTTTTTATTTGGGATCTCATTGTAATTCTAGATTCTAAACAAAATTTTTGGTCTCCCGTTAAAATGTGTGACTTGTGTCTTCATTTTATTTTATTTTATTTTTAATTTGAATCCGAGAACATATATGTAAATAATTAAGAAGTCCTAAAACTAGGGAATGGGTGAATTATCCCCATTTAGAAATTTTTTTCTGCTAGGAAGTACATGAATTCAGAGACTAACACCTTCTGTAAATGACATATTGTAGAGTTATCGATACTCTATATGCAAAAACACATCAAATCTTTTTAATCAATAAATTTTTTAAATAAATACATTTACAACCTATATATAGCAACTTTTGTTTAATGTAGAATTATAAGGCCAGCATTTAATATGTAATTATTGTTACAAAATTGAGAGGTATTTTAAAAAAAATAAAGTCCAGAGTCTAGAAGGCCCGTTAGGTTTAAAATAAAATAAAAAATTATTTCTTGATTCAATTACAAGGATCTCAACCATCTCAAGATTAGATTAGGAATTTAGGATAAGTATCTATCTTAATATTTTTATTTGGTTTTAGATGATCCGTATGCAGGAATATATAAATATGGATAATAGATGCTATGAAACACGAGATGTACTAATTTAATTTGTTGCTTAATTTTTAGGACATAACTAATTAAAAACCTCACCAACTTTGCCCAGATTCATAAACAAGCTTGCCAAAGAAAATTAAAAAGGATTCAATGTTACGTAAGATATCATAAGACCACAGATTCTGGATTCATTCATTTGGCCATAATTGTCCCAAACTCATAAAGGAAATGTAAAGAATGAATGTGATTTGTATTTGATAGAATTATTTAGAAAAATGCAAACAGAGTAATATTGAAGTGCGGCTTAAGTATGTTTGTGCGGGCGCGCAAGGCTTTGTTCAAAATTGAACAAATGGAAAGAAATCGAACTAAAATGAATACGAATATGATCATTTGATTTGGTTTGTTTCAAATCTAATTTGGTTTGAATCAATTATGGATCCCAAAAAAAGATTTTTTGCATGCCCAATCCGAAAATTTTTGAAACAAATTTGTATATTAATCTTTTAACATATATAAAATTAAGCTTTGATTTTTAATAAGAGTATATTGAAAGAATCTTACAATACTTTTACATCTTTTAATGAATTAACTATCTTCTTAACCATGCCCATGCATGTAGGGCTGCATAACAATAAATAGACTAGATGAGAGCCTAACTTAAAGTTTGGTTTGATTTTTTGATCAGGCTAGATTTAGCAGTCTGTGGTATGATTCAGTCTAATAGTAATTAAATGTCAGGTTGAACTGAATTTGATCTACCAGACCACCAAATTTAGTCTAATAGAACTTCTTCTTTTTTTAATTTTTTTATGGGAAGCAAGATTTGAAAATGATAAATACAATATTAAGACAATAAAAAAAAATACCTATAATTATATAAAACTCATCCTTAAATATCATAAATACACTAAGAATAATTCTAACAACACTAAAAACAATTAAATGTAAGATTTAAATTACAAATTATTAAAAATTAGAAAATTCACTCAAACCAAACTGAACCAATTCATATGATGTGATCACTTGGTTCGGAGTTTAGTCTGGACCTACCAACCAATCTGGTCCAATTATATAATTTATTTGAATTAGACTTGACTGGTCCAAATATTATATATATATTTACATATCCACCGTCACAGTCACAAGTTCTCCATTTTTCAAAGGATGATGCCGTCCTCATTATTTGGATAGCTCAAGTCTCAAATCTCATATTGTGAATTTACTTTAACCTTAAATATAGTATTATCTACGATCCTTAATATATGAACTATTTAACTAATTTGATTAGATTAAAAAAATAGTTAAATTAGTTATTTATAATAAATAAATGTTGTCTTTCCTAAAATATCTATACTAATTAAGTGTATTAGTTAGAACTACCATTATTATAAGGACTATCTTACAAAAAATGGATGAATATAAAAGATATAGTACATTGAGCTTTTATATTTAGGGCAAAAGAAAAATCAAATAAATTTTTATATTAAAGACCGGAGGGGTATAATACTTCTTTCAGTTCAAAATATAAATTACTTCAAACTACCTAATTGAAATCAAGAAAGTCCAACTAGCT